ATGGAAGACTTGTTTCTAGAAAGCCAAATTGGTATTGAGGTAGCAATATAAGTTGGAAAGAAGGATAACTCTCGTGCAGGGTAGCTTACCAAGGAAAAGGACGATTGACAACTATACTTTGAGAATTGAGTGTGTGCCCCGTATTAATCCGTAGCTTCCTGAGATAATCACTTGAGTCCTCTATTTTCCTTTCAATCGTTGGCAGCGGTTTAACTTGAAACGCGAATTGCTAGACTAAATTCACGAGCGAGCAGCTTCAACTGGCTTTTGCTCGGCACATTGCCAATATCCGACGCCCGCTACTCACGTCCCTCATGGATGCGACGACTCGATAACGACGGCTTCACAGTACGTAGTGTGACCAAGAGGCAGTGGTGTTTTCGGTTCATGGTCTGATTTAATCTTCTTCTTCTTCTTCTTCTGCGTCTTCTTCTCCCTAGTGTCAATCTCGCGGCGTCGCAGGATCCGCTGAGTGGAATGATTCGATGAGAAGACTGAGAACGGCATTGGGAGCTTTGTGGGAAACAGGACTATTTACGCAATACGCCTGCGCAGGAGAAATCTGAAAAAGAAGATATCCATAACAAAATATTATAGGTTGCTCTGTATGCTGGGAGCGGCACATAACGCTTGGAACGTGAATTGGAGATTGTGAGTGCAGACATAAGCGAAGGCTTGACTGACAATGGTTACTGTCATACTGTAAAATGGTCATGCTGGCAGGAAGCTTGCCCACACGTTCCAATCGGAGAACCAAAAAACTACAATACACCTAATAAAACTGAATCCTAGCAAGCGTCGAGGGTAGTTCATCAGATATTAGCGCATTTATACAACAATCAAATTCTAATTCGAATGATAGCAGCCTATTCAAGGCCCGTCTTTCTTGAGGCTTTCAAGTTTTCGACAGAGAATTCTTCTCCAGAAAGTAATACCAATCAGAATATGAAATAAAAGGTCGAACAACACAATTCCCAAACCACGGAGTTTAATTCCAAAAATTTTTCTGCGGTATACAATGCACTCACCCGTTGGACTCCACGAAGTGAAGACAGTACGGCAACCATTACAGCCGAGCGTCACATCGGTCTTGCTTGAGATCGAGAGAGGCAACTTTTAATTAATTTTTCTAGGGATAACCTACAAGTAATAGATAATTGTCGAGACTATAGCTAGGGTGGCTTAGATTCGAATAAGTATCCTCACTCATTTGAATAAGTATCCCTACTATATATGAATCACAAGTCCGTTGTGTGGCCTGTTTGTAATCACAATATCTTTGTTTGTATATATGTCGCTAAATTCGGCATTACCTGAAAACAATTGCAGAATGAAGACAATTCAGTGTAGGGCTCCACCCACGGGTAGGTAGGGCGGGCATTCAAATGAAAGATACGTTTAGGAATACATGTGTAACTTTGTTCAAAAGAATCCAGAATGCAGAAAAAGGTAGCCAAAATGATAGCCAGAGACTATTGGAGAAGAGCAGTTGAAACTTCTAAGTGGCCGGAGTTCAAATTGAAGTGGATGAGGCTAAAACCAAAAAAGCCTTGTCGTGCCATTTAAGAAAAAGTTCCTTATGAATTGAATGAATCGTTAGCAAAGCCAAGTTTGATGGAACACATTATTGCTTCCATTTTTGAACAATACGAATATGTGAGTGCTGTTTGAAACGAATTCTGCTCATTAGTGCCTGCCAGAGAAAGGAAACAGATCATTATCATTCAAGTTTATGTAAAAGCTGAAAACCAAATGAAAATCTAATTGTTTGAAAAACCATCTCAATTTTCATGCTAATGATGCTGCAATAGTATAAAAACTGTGTGACAGTCCCTACCCCATGCAACCATGGAACGTCTTCTTCTTCCTTTCCTTGTTGTAGCGGTTATCGCGGTTAGTTCTTGTCAGTAACCATTTAGGTAGACTATCTCTCCGCCGATTCCCGATAGCCAAGTGAAGGAAGGCAGCTCTTGTGGAGCTAACCAAGAATGCTTACAGGTCCCTAAGGCACTGCCACCACCGAAAGACATTG